TATCTGATATGGTCGTTCTTCTCCTCATTTGCGTATCTACTTTGGCCGTTCTCTTCTCTTCTACGTGTGATCCTTCATTTTTATTTAATTTTTGTCCTAATTATTTTGTAGTTGTGCTTTTGGGCCTTTAATTAAATTACCATGTTAGGAGGGTATAGTTAGTCATGACCATAACTAACTTGATTGTCCAATACTGATTTTTTTCTTTTATTTTTCTCCAAATTCACCAAAATTGTCTTTTATTTCCTACATGTCGGAAATAAACAATACGCACCGAAATTAGGCATAATCTAATCAAAATCAATCAAATATCGCATATGATATGAACATAAAACGCATGCGATTTCTAACTATCAATTATAAGATTATAATCAATATGTATTATTATATTGCACACATCAAGTTTAAATAAGTATAATAATATTGCATATACACTGAATTGTAATTAGATTCTTAGAATTGACAACATTCTCCACTCTACTTTTTCCCTTTCAAGTGAATTATGGGAACACCGTAAATTAATAAGGAATCAAGGGGATTTTTTTATTGGTAATTTTTCTATATTTCGATTTTATTTATTTATTTTGATCAAATATTTAGATAAGTATTACAAAATTATAAATATTGAATAATAGAAATAACACTCCATAATTATTATAATATATTTGCAACATATATGTTATGTAACACAAAATAGGTAACTGTTTACGGCACAATTTTATTTATATATGGTTTGTCTTCAATGATTATTTGAATGAGAATGAAATTCGACGAGTAAACAATTATATAGAGTACTTTATAATACACTATAAATAATTTATAAATTATAGTCAACCAACTATCTCATCATACATTATTAGTAACACATTAAGATGTATTTTGTTTGTGTGAGTTCTTAAATAATTCTCAATAATTTTTTTTATTATTATATATATGTATTTTCAATAAAATAAAATTTATTTAAAAATTTATACAATATTTGTAACGTGGATTGATTACTCCTTTGATTTTTAAAATTTTTACATCATCGCAACCAATGCATTGTCAACGGTTTCATTAATACACTTATATTAATAAAATGTGGGTATGAATTGCCTATCTCATTTATTATTAATAAATGGACAATTGACACTCCATGCATTGACAACACCATCCTAATTTTTCACATCAACGCACAACACACATTATATATATGCAAATAACACATATTAGTATTACACACAACACATACTATGTATGATAAAGGTATGTGGTTTTTTTCAATAATAACAAGTGTGTTGTATACAAGTATTGTTATGTGCTAAAATCAATTGTTGTGTATTGTATGAGACTATAATATGTGTTGTTAGTTCATGTGTTGTATTTGTATTATATTAACATATACAATGTGTTGTCTGTAGTAATACTGTATGATGTATGTAGTAATATTCTATGTTGGCGAGACTATAATATGTGTGTTTTGTTCATGTGTTGTATTTGTATTATATTAACATATACAATGTGTTGTTTGTAATAATATTATGTGTTGTCTAATAGCACACGATGTATTGTTCAGCACAATGCTGAATTTAAATTCAACACTGTAGTCGCCGCCACCATCATGATTACATACTTCTTATAATGTTACCGCATTGTCATAGGTTTCTATGACCCAATTTATAAATAATTTATTGTATAGTTGACCTGTCGCGCGGTTAATCAAATATTTCACCTATTCCGTTATCACAATTTAATGTAATACATAGAAAGGGATGTCTCAACAGGGATTGTGTGATTCACTCTTTCATGTTCTAATACAGTAAATAAAAGGGGGAGTTTTATCATTAAAGGGATGCCTGGCTCAAGGGATAATGCAGTTATGACACTTGTGTTTTATCATTAATTCAATAAAGTTAATTCTTATTAAAGTATCAATAAACTAGTTATAGTTATCAACAAGTTTTGATAACCAATTTTTTCTTACAATGTAGGTAATTAAGGTACGACCATTAACTACCCCTAATTAAGCAAATAAATCTAAGTATGCCCATAAGAATATTGCCTAACTGCATTTTAATTTAGAAAAACCCAATTCAAAACAATTACTATCTAAGAGGAGCAATTAAATTTGATTGTCTAACCCCGGGAAGGAACTATTCGACCCGGTTGTCATCTATTCAAGTGCGAATACAATTACGGATATCCTACCTGAATTGACTTTAGATTATCAGACTAATTCAAATATCGGTACCAAAATATTCAATCAATCTAACAATCACAAACGTTATTATCAGAATTAGACAGATATTGATAATAAGAAAAACTTTTATAAAGAAAATCAAGAATCTCCAAAACAAAAGAACCAAAATATTATCACCCCTCAAACCAGAAAAGTATCTACTCCATAATCAAATAACAAAGAACAAAAGAGAAAGTCATAGTGGGAGGGGGAAATCTTCTCTGTTGATTTGCTTCTGTGCGATCTATGAGTTTGTCAGTCTCATGCTCCTGTGTGTATCTGCTCCAGCCGTTCTCTTCTTCAAAACATCCCCTCTTCTTTTATTTAATTTTTACCCTAACTATTTTGTAGATGGACTTTTGGACCTTTAATTAATTTCTCATAACAAGAGGGTGTAGTTAGTAATGATCATGACTAACTAGGTTGTTCAAATCTGAATTTTTTTTCCTTTTTCTGCCAATTATGTCAAATTCGATATTTGCCCTCTGCACACAACAAATAAACAATTCACATATAAATTAGGTAGAATCCAATCAAAATTACTCAAATATCGCATATGATATGAATATAAAATGCATGCGATTTCTAACTATCATTAGTTGTATATTATCAACTTTTTTAGTAATAAATATATCTCATTACACCATATGCTAATAATATTAATTGAAATGTGACTAGAAATCATTGAAATTTAAAGGATAATATTTATTTGGTATACGTCTATGTACTTTTACATTGTCAATACATACTTCTATATATATTGTACATACTCCAATCTTAATAGTATATTTCAATTATTACTTTATAAACTTATTTTATATTATAATATGTCCCGTAAAATGTACATATACTTTTTTAAGATAGTTAGATGTCTACTTTTCCAATCTATACTAATGAAATATATAGATTGGTCGTGTAATATATATGTAATTCGAATAGGCTTGAGAAGTTATATAATATATATTTTATTACATTTAAGATTGTACTGGCCATGTAACAAGTTCTAAATCCTAAATATGATATATATATATATATATATGTAATATCTAAAAAATATCACTATAAGCCATAAAATTCTAAACTCTTAAGCAAAATTCAAAATCGAAAATGTGTGATAGATCTAAATAGATATATTTATTCAATGTAGGTTATGTATTTATGTTGGGCTAAGAGTAAACTTAGCACATAAATATTTTTTATCCATATCTTTGTTGTTTTTATTTCAATAAATTCTATTTTTATTGAATTATTTTTTATTCTAACAAATTTTAATTAATTATTAAAATATAATATTTAAAAAAATAAAAAATAAAAAATTATGAGAATACATAAATTAAAATCACTTGTCATATACATAATATATATATATATGATGTTTCCCTTCCTACTCACAGTACTATTTTTACTATTTTCATTCGTTCCACTCAAAAGTATTTATTTAATATTTTAGTAAAAATAATCATACATCAATACTAAAATACCCTTAACTTTTACCTAAATTATGTACCATTACACATACAATTACTTTATACATAAAATCAAACAGTAAAAATGTTAAAACCTCTTACACATTTCCACTAACCAATAAAATAATTAATGGGAGTGTGCAAGAGTTTTTGACATTTTTACTTTGACTTTATGTATATAGTAATTATGTGTAATAGTATGTTTGTAATATAAGTAAAGGTTAAGAGTATTTTGATATTAGTATATGATTATTTTTTTTAAAATAGGAAAAAAATACTTTGAAGTTGGACAAACGAAAATAATAAAAAATGTATTTTGAATTGGGGCGGAGGGAATACTATAATTTTTAATTTACTATAAAATTCCAAAATGATCTATTTGGAATGAGACGGAGAGAGTACTATTATTTCTTAATCTACTACAAAATTCCAAAAGAACCCATTTGGAGTGAGACCAAGTGACTATATGATATGATATATGATATAAATCATTATTGTCCTCTCCATATTTATTTCATCATATTGCCATTACACATTAAAATTGTTACACTAATAACATATATACATATATAACAAGACTAAAATAAATTGAAATATTGAATGCTAAAAATTATAAAATTAAAAATATTAATATATAAAAGTAGTATTTGCTTCATTTCAAAATAACATAAATAAAAAATATTAATATATAAAAGTAGTATTCCTTTCATTTCAAAATAACATAGATATTTGAGATGGGTATAAAAATTAAAGAGTAATAGTATTATATTGATAGTAAATATAAAAATGTTTTTAAAAAAATCATAATGCCTGTATTTATGTAATGAGAGTAATGTTCCGAGAAAGAGAGAGTATTACCTTACCGGTTATTCTTAGTGCATTTTCAATACAATGTCAATTTTGACGTTGCAACCCCATTTATGCCGCTGATGGTCTTCAATCGGGTGCCACTTGAAACATCATTTTTGATGTTTGTTACGGTGCAACAAACGCCATTAATGTGTGTTTGTTTTATATTATTTTTTTTAATTTTTTAAATTTTTAAAATTATAAATTTACTTTTAAATTTAATTTTTATTTTTTTTAAATTTTTAAAAAATTTATTTAAAATTATAAAAATAAAAAGTTGTTTAAAATAATAAAAAAATTAAATATTTGAAGAATAATAGTGAAAAATAGAGTTATAGTTGAAATAACAACTGCATATTTGAAAATAAAATTGAATAAACGAAATTGATGGTTACAAAACCGTACACCGTAAATGAGATGAAGGTACAACTTTCATAAAAATATAAAATGACCTGCTGAATTATCTGCCCTGTGTTGTGTTGTGTTCTTAAAATGACGAAGAATTTGAGGTTTTATGATGAAGAGGTTGGAAGAAGACTCGTTTCACTTGCTGCTCAGCTGATAGCCAAAGCCGATCGAACCTGCCAGCCACCGGCTCAATACTTTCTATACACAGACTGACAGACGCATCTGTCAGTTTTGCGTTGTTTGGCCGTTGCGACTCGACCACCTCCGCCGCCTTCTTGATCTCCTACGCGGGGGCGAATCGGAACTCTTCCTCTTGCTCTCGGTTGCTCCATTGAAGCCCTAAGACTCCACCGCCGAATCCTGCATTCTACTGTGCTGAGACATGTCTTTGTGTTTTCCATACCGATGATCCAATAGAGTACCGATCAGCGATTCAATTCTCTCCGCTTGTTCGTTACGTGGATTCTAATCTACCATGGCGGACAAACAAGTTGTTAAGCGTGCCAAGTACAAGTCTTCAGTCAAGGATCCCGGGGTCGCCGGCGTTCTCAAAATGGTATTAAACCCTAGCAATTTGCGTTATGTATAAAGACAGGCATTGGATTTTGGAAACCCCTTTGTGAATCCTTCCATGCTGTTTCATTAAGTTAAATGTTAAAGACACATTAGTGTATATTGGACTCTCAAATTGATACAAGATTCATAAGCAGGGACTTTGGATAATTTTTATGTTCTATGCACGAGATTGAAGGATGGATTTTTCAAATGTGATTTTCAGTGACTCGTTTTTTTTTTTTTTTTGTGTTGTTTTCTATCCAGAGGATGGAAAGATTTGTGTTTGTGCCAAATGATCCTACATCAGCCACAAAGCTAAATGTGGAGTTTAGGACGATAAAAGGTGCTGGTTTCTTCTAACTGACCGTTTCTCTGGACAAATCTGCTTAATGAGTTATTCAGTTGAAAGCAATGGCGGAGCCATCTATACATATTGAAAATGAAGGCATAATAATTCATCTATGTAATTCACATTTCATCTATATTGAGTGAAACAACCAACCTTTTTACTAATTATCAATGCAATTCAACGATGCCACTTATGTGTTAGCATTTCTATTGAATTAATAACTTACAGGTCATAAGTTTACAAAGGAGGGTTCAAGTAAGCAGGCTCTACTAAATCTTACCCAAGACCAGGTTTGTGGCCATTAGATTTAAGAACTCATTCTTTATGAAATCTCCAAGCATTCAAACAGAGACATTATTTATTGTTATTTGCAGGGGGAAAATTACATTTTTGAGTTTGATAGCTTTTCTGATCGAGATGCATGCCGGGAATATGTTGGTGAGTCTCAAGCATTAACATATATTTATCATCTTTCACGGTATACATATTAAGATTGTTTATTGGAAGATGTGGTTTGCTTGCTATGTTCTAGTTCGTTTTTCTGGAAAATTAAAGAACTTGATATAGTATTAGCTTGCAAACTACCATGTAGCTTTTAAATGTGTCCCTTCCTCTCCCAGCTTTGAACAAGCAGAATATATGATTTGTTTTGTTTCTGTTAGGAGTTCAATGTGGTTGGGTCATAAGATGTTATATCTTGCTCGAAAATTGATTTTTGTGGTTCGGAGTAGGTTAATTTGAATTTTATGCATCCACTTGTGTTAAATTATGAGTTTGCAAGACAGTACATATATCTGTTGTTTTTTTCCTGTTCACTGCTCATAAAAACATTCCGGCTGTGGGCTTAACAATTACCTCTATATATATTAATTTTCGAGCAGCCACTGCTATTGCACATCATTCTGAAGCTGGAAGGCTGGTCAATGAAAAATCTAATGTCCCTGTGAGCAATGAACAACTTAGTAGAGCAGAAACCGAACGAAGAATTAAGCTACTTCAGGAGAATAGGTAGATAGAATTTCTCGATTTGTGAAATCTCTTACTCTTGTATTAGAAAAACCATTTAACTCCTACAATATGATTTATATTTCATTCATTCGTGAAAAGAAACATAATCCTTGTCATTTTGGTTTGATATCCCTTCAATTTGAGAGCCGTGCTCTCCCATGTTCTTGTATAGCTCCCTCGATTGGACCAATAACCTAAAATTGAATGTTGATAGGGAAGATGATTCAATTTCAATATATATTAGTCTAATAGGAAATCTAAGATTGTTTCTTTGAACAAACCAATTTTATTCTAACTTTACTGGAAATGTGCTGCCATTATTATTTAAAAAATTTCATATTAATTGAACGGTAATGCTAAATTTTGGCAAACTTATTGGATGTGCTGCCAAATGAAACAAAATTTGCCCTAAACAAATAAATCAGTGTTTTCCGAAAAATCACAATTTTGGCATGCTAAGTGTTTTCAGTTATTTTCTCTGTGGAATAGGATATTTCATGTAGATCATCTCACGCAGAAGCTAAGATCCAATAATCACAAAGAATAGCAATAAAATTAGAAGAAAAGAACAAGTAATCCTTGGTGTTCTGTAACGTCTAGTGTACCTTAGGAAACTATACTTGTGACTTCCAATTAACAATAAGATGACACACCTCTTCCATGATATTATAATCTGCAATGATCAAATTCACTGAGATGATATAACAGCATGTTTTACATACATAAGGTAGTTGTCTCTATTGCTTAAGCCATTGCCTACTTTCTTGGTCATAAGCACATCCTTAACCCTATTTCCCTTGAAAGTATCAATTGAAAATCCAGATAAAATCATTTCTGTAACTTTAGAATTTAGAAATTTGCATGTTAAATTGTTCTTTGTGGAAGTCTGAGCTAGTGTAAATGGCAGTGAATTACAGGCACTTCACAAGCAACTTGTATTCGGAGGGATATTGACAGATGATGAATTCTGGGCTACAAGGAAGGTTAGCTAAAAGGAAATTTGAACAAGTTTTGTTCTCCTTTTTAACAAACAAGGAAGATGAGAATAAAACATGAAATGCAGTTTTATTCTCTCAACCATGGAGTTTACCCTTTACCCCAATCTTTGCTGACATAAGTAACTCTGTTGTTTTAACAAACATGTTCGATACTTTTTCTTATTTTCCTCAGTGTCTATTTGACAAAAAGGTGTTATCTAGTTTATTTCTACCATTTAACTTCTAGTAAAAAATTGATAATAATTTCAATCTTCTGTAAACGCAGAAATTGCTGGACCACAGTGATAGCCGAAAGCCAAAGCAGCGTTTGGCATTAAAAAATGAAATGTGGAGTGTTAAACCATTATCTGATGGTCAGGTACAAGATATCACTTTCTTAGGCACTTCTTTTCCTAGTCCAGAATAATGCTCATGTTCCAGTTGCACCCTTTTCTTTCTTTTATGTACTTGTGTTTGATTTTCTCAGACACAGCTCCAATTGTTAACATTGTAGAAGAATACATATAAGTTTAATGCATGCATATCTATGCCATGTTAATACATAGTATATTTGAAGAATATCGCGATTCTCATTGACGTAAAATTAAAAGTTACAATATACAAAAATTCCTAATATAATACAACTATCCAAAATACCTAAACTGCATTTCATACTATTATATGATTGTTGTGTTCTTTTGTAGTTTTTACCGCAGGTTTTTGCTATTCAAATTCTTTTTTTTTTTCTTAAAAAATATCAAATCAAACAATTACTTTTTTTTTTTTTTTAATATTATACTACAAATTTATTTAAATTCAAAACATTACATCAACCTCTGTTTATATCACATCAAACAACTATTTAAATTCAACTTTTTACTATTAAAAAATCTAAACCCAAAAACTACATCCCACAACAAACATACCCAATATATCTAACAATATTTTTTGATGCGATCTCTGTTTTACTTTACTCTGAACTTGTCACTTTTATCAATATGTATTATATAACCTCCGTGCTTGTTGAAGTATGCTAGAATCAACTTTTGAATACCTTTTGTTAATGACTTGATTAATTAGAAAAATAGATTACTCAACAATATGAGTAAGCAGCTGCCTTTGAGACATTTCGGGTGTGTTTGTTTGGGGGTTTGGATTTTGAGTTGGGATTTGAATAGTAAAAATTTTGAATTTGAATAGTTGTATGATGTGATATAAATAGGTGTTGATGTGATATTTTGAATGTAAAATTAATTTTTAGTTTAATATAAAAAATAAAAAATAGTTAGTTTGATTTGATATTTTGGGGGGAAAAAATGGAATGAATAGTGGATTTAAAATCCAATCCCCCAAACAAACACACCTTTCATGTTTTAAGACTATTCGTAAGCCAAAAGACATTGATACCTGTTCTATTACATTTATCTTTAGTTCACTACATAAAGTATTAAATACTCTCTCTGTCATCTAATTATGCGCTCAAATATTTGAGTACGGATTTTTATAAAAGTGGATCATAATTGTTACTTTTTGTCTTTAATAGTAAAAAAGTACAAAAAAGAGTAATGTATTTTTTGCTAAATATGGAAAAGAACATCTTCTAATGACAAAAAAAAAAAGGTGTATAGATTTGAATGACAGTGAGTGTAATAAGCCGTGAAACAAAGAAATGTGACATCAATATGAATTAAGAATGTAAACTTGGGAATTGTAAAACCCATGAATTTGATGTTGTTTATAACCCTTACACTACATAAAAAATCAGAAGTTTTCACAGAAACATGAGAAACTTGCACAATGGATATGATTCTCTGAAAAGATACACTATATAAATGTGTGCTTGTTTAAACATAAGACCTATGTGTTGATAGCGTTTTTGCATCTATTACTTCATGCTTAGCTTATGTGCTTTAATATTTTTTCTGCCATTTATCATATCAACAAGAATGTTGCATTGACATCTAGGGTTATTTTCTTTCAGTCCAACAGAGTGACGTTTAACTTGACACCAGAAATCATTCATCAGGTGCATTTTCTTTTGCCTTCCTGTTATATTGCTGCCCATTATGTGTGTGTGGAGCTGTAATCTAGATAGATTTCCTTGTAGCACAAGTACACAATTACATGGATTGTCTTAGACAGGAGTGGAAAAAGCAGTGCACAAATATCTAAAATTTTGTAGTTCTTAGAAAATAACATCATTTGATTTGGGAACCAAAACTTTCTCGTGTCCACTCACATGTTTTGAATGAAGTGAACTAATTATAGTCATTTTTCTTTGGGGTCTCCTGACACCTTGTCCTTCAAAGAATTCTATGATTAAAATCATTCATTTGCCATCATGCTTCTCTCTGTTTTTTATTTATTTATCTATTTTTATTGTTTACCACATCTGGTGGTTATATATATATATATCACTGGTCCCTAATTAATTTTTGGTTCTGTTAATAAGGCAATAACCTTTTGATTGAGTTTTAGAAGAAAAATTAAAACAATATCACATTTAGTAGATGTAGTATACAAAGGGTGGTTGTCCTTTATTCTATTATACTTACTATTATAGTCTTTTCAATGGATTCCTTGAATATGTTTTTTGCAGATATTTGCTGAGAAACCTGCTGTACGCCAGGCTTATTTAAATTTTGTCCCAAACAAGGTATGAACAATGATAGAGCTTTATACGCAATCCATGCTCATATTTACTAAACTTCACCTTCAGGTTGCATGCCTTTCTGTTCTTCCTAGTTCCAAACATTTTTTGGTAGTTGTGATTAGTTTTTAAATATTCAGGCTTCCGTGAGAACTGAAACTTCAGTGTCACTTCTCTATCTTTGATCACTGTATATATTTTCTCATGCTTCTTTGTAAGTTGAAAATTGAGTCTAAAGAATATGAATTTTTACTGGCAAACAAAATTAGTTTAGCTTCATTGAAGGGCTACTCCTGTTCAAATGAACAGTGTCTTGGTAAAAGTATATAGTATCTTTTCTGGATCTTGAAGCCTTAGCCATCATCCCACCATAGTGCTGTACCTGTAAAAAGTGCCATGGTACGAAATGCTAGTAAAAAATATTTATTGTATTTCAGATGACAGAAAAAGAGTTCTGGACCAAGTATTCAAGAGCTGAATATCTTCACAGCACAAAAAACGTAGTTGCTGCAGCAGCCGAAGCTGCTGAAGATGAAGAGCTTGCTGTTTTTCTGAAGCAAGATGATATGCTTGCAAATGAGGCTAGGAGAAAGGTAATCTGATTCCAACTTTCTATGTTGTCCTTGTTTGACAATTGTAAATTCAATGTTCATTAGCTGTTGTTATTTTGATTTCACAAGTTAATACTTCCTTCAGATCAGGCAGGTTGATCCAACTGTAGACATGAAAGCTGATGAAGGTGATGATTACACTCATCTACCGGTACTTTATACTGCTCACCTTTATTGTGTAAGCTTATTGTTAGAAATGTTTCTGAATGGTTTTTCTAGTAGAATATATATTGTCTCACTCTCCCTCCCTCCCTCCTGTCTCTCTGTCTCTCTCTCTTCTCACTCTTTTTTTTTTTTCTTTTTTCCTTTTTCTATTTATTTATTTTTTATCTCTGATGTGCCAACTGATTGAAACTGCTCAAGTTTGTCTCCAGACATTACCCTTGTTAATGAAATGTTAACATTTCCTGTTGCGTTTCTTGAGAACTGTTTTTTGTGTTGATGTAAATTGCCAAAGATTGCTTACACGTTATCATGACAGCTTTCATTCTGGTTTTCAGTTTTCAGTCCTTCATACAATGTAATTTGCACAATCTTCTCTCTTCACTGAGCACACTTGCAATAATGTAGGATCATGGCTTGCTTGGTGATGAAACCAAGGATGTATTGGAATCACAATATAAGCCATATCGTAGATCCTTTGCACAAGATCTGAATCAACATGCTTCTGTTGTTCTTCAGGGAAGGCTTGTAGGTAGGTTAGTGAATGCACTATTTAATATCAGTTTTAATTGTAAATTATACTATTGGTCTGCTTAATAAATGTAATTGCTATGACTACAGTCATTCAAGCCAATTTGTATCATGGCATTCTGAAACTAATTAGAAAATAGATTGACCAAAATATGTAAATCGTGAGCAGTAAATATTTCTATAAAACCTTAATTTTCTATTTTTGTCTTCGAGAAAAGATGAGCTAGGAGATACAAGGTCTGTTGCGGAGGCCCTTGCGAGGACAAAACAAGGTTGGAAGTGTTCTTTTAACTTTCAAACACTTCCTATTTACTATTCAAATTCACAATATGAAAGCTTAATGATACGAATTGTATATTGCAGCTGAGTTATCTGATGAGATATCCAATCGGAATTTAGAAAAAGAGCTATCGGACAAGATTTGTAGAATGGCTGAGATTGAAGATCTGCAAGGGCCACGTGATACTGCAGTTGCTCCTCTCAGCATCAAGGTTTGGCTGTCAATAACTTTTACGAACTCCAATCTCAGATTGCTGTGTATTTTTGACACGCCTTCCTTCTTATAACAGGATCCACGGGATTATTTTGACTCTCAACATGCTAATGCACTAAAAGCACTGGGAGATGCAGGTACAGGTACAAAACCATTAAAATCCAGCGTGAGCTCTTCTAAAGCTTATGGTTCCTTAAGGGATCTAGTCTCAGAAATCAGAGGTACTGGATTGAGTGACCCAATAATGAGTCACGATGTTGCTCTTAAGGTATGCAATGTACCTTTGCATGTCTAAACTGTTGATTGTGGTCTAGTGGAATCAGTAAATTTTATATAAATTACATCATAAATCAAATATTAATTAAATAAATTAGTCCAACTCAACTTCAAACTCAATAATCAACCGGTAACCAAATTCTTGGTGTACTTACGGATAGGTCCTTAGTGGGTTGACCCAAAATATCTCCAGCACCAGGTTTCATCTCGGAATCAATCCAAATGAGAGTGTCTTGAACAGGTTGCCTAAAGTCACTAAAGAGGAGCTTTTACATGTGAGTTTATGCTAATAATAGAACCTCTCCACATAGCATTGTGTTTCAGTTCAAGAAAACTTGTTGCTCCATAATGTACTAACTGATGAAATGCCATATCTGTTGCAGCACTGGACTTCTATCCAAGAATTGCTCAAACATTTTTGGTCATCATATCCTATTACAACCAAGTACCTCTATACCAAGGTAGTTATCTACATCATGATTACATTGATCCACACATTGAACAATTATGTTGTAATCCTTCACACCATGTGCTATCTACCATATTGGTATAATATTATAGGATTCCTGTTATCTACATGATGAACAGTTATGTTGTAATCCTTCACACCATGTGCGATCTACCATATTGGTATAATATTGTAGGATTCCTTGTAGTAATCTGGCCACAGATCATTGCATTGCATCTCGCCTCTATACTAGCAATTAGAAACCCATTTTCACTTCTTAGCTTCTAAAAATGATCATTATGCAATGCTACTATGAAGCCAAGTTCCTACCACTATCCGGGCACAAGAATGCTTCGTAGGATGAAATGGATTAAGCTATAGCTCATCAATAAAGTGAGCCTGGATGTTTCTATTCTCCACTAACCATTTCTGTTAATTAGTAATGTTTAGCAGAAACTTGGTTTTCACTCTTACCATAAACACACTGGATCCGAGTTACAGTTTTATATCACCAGCCACAGTTTTGGGGATATTATCTTCTTTGTTATCTTCGTCCACACCTAAATATTCTCAATATTGTGCTCATTCGATCACATGGGCCACAGGTAACCAGATTGAAAGATGCAATGTCCCAAGTTTATCCCAAGTTGCAGGTACTTACTCCAATCCAACATCTGCCATACAATGCTAATAATGATGCAACCAGGATATGGATATGCATTTATCATCTCATTTTTTCATACTCTTGTTTCAGGAGATCAAGGAATCTGTGCAGTCCGATTTCAGACATCAAGTCTCACTTCTAGTTCACCCGATGCTTCAGGTTACACTAAACTTTGATTTGTTCATTATTCATACCCGCCAATGCTCCCTTTATTATGTTGCATGGCGTCGCATGCTTCTCTTCTCGATCAATAAGATAACAACTGTATCCTGTAGGCGCTGGACGCCGCGTTTGCACACTATGAAGCGGATGCACAGAGGAGATCTTCCAAGAGTGGGGAAAGGCCAAACGGCTTCACCTGATAGAGTTTCTTTATAATCAACGTACGTATCACTTCTCCTGTTCTGTTCAAGTGTACATTTTATCACAAAATTTTGGTATTTTATTGGAAGAGTATCATTATTTACATTTACATGTGCTTGTTTTGGTTTGTTTTGCTGTGCTAGATTTCCATGTGTATCATCGAGTCAAGCTTCTCACTAATTTTGTGCCGTTCATGCAATTCTAGTATTGTTCTTGATCGCAATCTATATTGCATGACATTATTATTATTATTTTTATTATTGAAGTCTGTCAACTTGCAATAATTTATCATATAGAAATAATATTTTTTTCAAACAATCCTAAAATAATAATGAGAAAAAAGGGATAAAATTAGGATATGTATTATGGGCTATTTGGTATAGAGAATTAATTTAGAGATAAATAAGTAGAGAATGAATTACAGAGATAAATGAGATTAGAAAATGAAAATTAAATCACTAAATTCTGTTTGGTAAAATAGAAACTGAGAAATGTAAAAAATATATATATGCACAGAGAGACATGAAGTGTAAATCAGGTAAAATGACCGTTGAAGGAGTGAGATATTTTTGGCGATTTCTTTTATAAAAAAATAAATTAGATATGATATTATATAGGACTAGATTTAAGAGTATTTTCTTTCTAAAACATAAAAATTAAACTCTCAAATAATAAATTAGATGGGATAATTTATAAGATTAAAATAATATAATATTAAATAGTTATAAATATTAAAAGTAGAAAATAATAAATAAATATATTGTATCATTATTTATTTTCCTATGTTGAGCTAAAAAAAAAATGTGAGAGGAAAATGCTAATATGATTCGGTAAAGGCCTAGACAAGAAGACTCGATCAAGTCCAGAGGAATTGGTGTCGGCCCATGAAGAATTTTAAGGTGCACTCTATAGCAAAAACTTCACACATAGCGGAATTGATGAAAAAAAATTGTAGCTGCAAAAGTTATGATACTTGTTAAGGAAATGGAGGTCTATATTTAGGGTGTGTTTGTTCGAGGGATTTTGTGGGATTTTTAATATTCCCACAAAATTTTTTCTTAAAAAACATCAAATCAAATATTTATTTTTTATTTTTTATATTATACTAAAAATAAATTTTACATTCAAAACATCACATCAATTTTTATTTATATCACATCATACAACTATTCAAATTCAAAATTTTTACTATTCAAATCTCAACCCAAAATTCAAACCCTCAAACAAACACACCCTAAATAAACCTGGAAGTTTTGGTTATTATAAATTTAAGATCAAGCACGTAAGGAGCTTAGTAGTGGGAGGCTTTCTTAAGATAAGCTATTCGAGGGGCATGGCGGTTACGGTGGTTAGAAATACATAAAATGAAGCTGAATAATAAAAAGAGGTTATATAAAGTCTAATAAGTATTGACTAAAGAGTTCCAGTTATTGAACAAGCATGGAGATTATGTAGGTTATATCGGTTTAAATAATCTTTAATAATGACGGAAATGATAAGCATTCAAGAGGAAGAGAAGTCTCAAACCTTAGTGAAGCTATAAAATACGAAAACCAGAGATGAGAAAAAAGTCCTAAACTCCAACAACACAACCCATTTTCCAATTTTACCAATTTTTTGTCTTTATTTTGTTGTCTTTTATTTTTCTTGTTATTTTATTTTCCGTAAGTTTATTCATCCAGCTTTCTTTCAATTTCACAGTACTTTCCCGCATTTGTTTTCAAGTTTTAATGAAAATTTTATTTTAAAAGTCATTTTATAATTTATTTTATTCGGTGGATTTTCCACTAAACCTCTTTTCCGTGGACACAATTTTTTTCTAGGGGCTTTCTAGAATGCCGTAGGGAACCCTTTATCTATTTTTTTTGACAAACTTTCCTACGCTGCTGCGAAATTAAAATAGCTAAATTTCCGGATACAATAAATTGACACTCAGTGGGACCACGATTGTTATGTCTCATTTGTAAATGCAACTGTGTAGCCGACAACTACCATATATCATGTTGCCAAGAAACAACACTACTGACATTGGGAGTCAGGAGAATTCACCACATAACAATGATCCCCACACTGGTGACACATTAACTCACAACGGAAATAAAGAGCAGTCGCCGGCCTTGTCCGTGTCCGCCAGTCTCATCCGAGAACAAAGCATGGAGGAGGTACAATCATATTTGTATGATTAAGCCCTATTACAATCCAAATATGTAGTGGACTTAAGGTATTTATGACCATCAAATGGGAAATTGTCTAACTTTCCGCAACGTTGTGCAGTGAACTATCAAAGAAAGACGACATAAATTAGCGGATAAGCCATATATAAAGGTGGACAGTGACTCATTTTCAGCCCTGGTCAACGTAATTGGTGTGTGCCCGAACCAACCTTGTCCAATGTGCAAAAAAATAAATATATGAAAGCCGTGCAGAGGAGAAACTTGTTCGAAAGGTTGGGGTGGAATGTTGGACCACCGGGACGAGTTTCCGCACTACCAAGGAGGATTTTTGTGTGGGACATACTTTCACCACACAGTACAGTAGCGGAAGTGAGTTTTTACAAGAACGAAGGAGTTTGGAAGGTTACGTCAGTAGATCAGGTGGTAATTATTCCACAGTCCACACGATGTCTAGAGCAGCCTCCGGCGGATGGAAGATGGGTGGTAAACCAGAAGAAAAATCAACAGAAACCCATAATCAGGACGTAGAAGTGATGTAGAAGTGGCGAATGTAGCACCAACATCGGACGGAGCCAGAAGCCATGCAACAGATGGAAGGTAGCAAAAGGGCAGTATCTACGGTTCCTGGTGGATACCACAATATGCCAAAGAAAAGATCACAGCCTCGCCTGAGGATGAGGTAGGAATGGCGCCCCAAGCCTATTCCAACGAGAGACGTCATTCCTGTTGGACCTAGCTGAAAAACACCAAAATAGTCATCTGACAACAAGATGTCTGAGGATCAGTCAGACGACCCGTTAAGAGATACACTCATGGAAGAGGGCAACGAGTCTGAGGCCAGCTTCATAGTCATACTGACCAATGAAGATATGAAGAAGCCATGAAATACCACAAAGACTTTGCTATCAACATGATTAGAGTATTTCCAAAGGCGTTCAGTGCACTATTTCTGCAGCTAGAATTTTTGCAGAAAGACGTGATAGTAGACGGTGCAAGGCTGATTTTGTGGGCTAATGATTCGGACAGCCCAACGGGAATTAAGCACCAGGACATGGTGTTCAAGAAATCTACTGAGGAAGAAACTCGACACTTGAAGCCATTTTTCCTCACCATCGCCCTGGATGGGTGGACAGTAACCAAGGTATTGATGGATGGCGGATCTTCTGTCAATATCATGACGTTAGGTTCTCTGAAAAAGATTGAGAGGGCCAAGAACGAGCTGATTCTACTAACCATGAGGATGACAGATTTAATGGGCAATGCCCATAAGGCTGCTGAAGTTGTTGTGGCGGATGTGACCATTGGAAGCAGAATGACTCAATGACATTCTTTGTGATTGAAGAAAAGCCAACTTACTCTGACATCCTAGGTCATGATTGGATACACATGGCACAATGCGTTCCCTTTACCCTCTATCAGAAAGTGATATTTTGGAATGGAGACAATGTGAAAAAGTGGAAGCAGAAACATATCCCCTTATGAAGGTGCACACTTTGGAAGCAATCTTCTATCTCCGAATGTGTACCATTTGTTCATGATGGTACAAGATTTCAAAAATTGGGAAGAATACAATCTCACCACCTAAGGATTCGAAATCCTCACGAAGGCTGATCAACGGCCAGATTTCATAGAAGAATGTGATGGTTGATGATCTTGAGTTCGTTAGTAAGTGGGAGGATTGACTGCGGAAGCTGTCTTATCAAGAAAAAGAACAAACGGCGGAATCCATTGAGGGTCAAGCAGTATCTAATGACGTTCCGCCTGCTAGTAGCAATCGTGATAACGAAAAATTGAATCCAGCCATCTGGAGGACGATTCCACCATTCAAAGCTCAAGATTCATCGGAAGTTGGGAAGTGAAGTAGAGCCTCAGATGAAGAAGATCAATACTTTACTATCCTAAGAGCATAAGGAAAAGTTGATTACAAATATTTGAGAGTTCCGAGATTGCTTCGCTTGGATGTATCACAAGATGCCCAGTTGGCTCGAAGTTTGGTGAAACATCGATTACCTACCAAGCTTACTTACCGCCCTCACAAGCAGCCTCCAAGACGATTCAATCAAGATTTGCTTCTAAAAATTAAAGAGGGGTGAAGAAACTCCTAAAGGTTAATTTCATCCGAACTTGTAGGTATCCGAAATGGATTTCAAATATTATACTGATCTTAAAAAAAAATAGGAAGTTGGGGTGTGCATAGATTTTAGGAACCTAAATATAGGAGCCCCTAAAGATGAAAGTTTAATGCCAATAGCAGATATGTTGATCGATGTCATGGATAGGTACCAAATTTACTTTTATGGATGAATATTCCGGCTATAACAAAATTTATATTGCTGAAGAGGATACCTACAAGAAAACTTTCCATTGTCCAAAAGCCATTGACATTGTTTAATGGATTGTGATGTCTTTTGGGCTCAAGAATACCAGAGCAACTTACTAGCATACCATGAATGATATTTTGCATGAGTTGATTGGGATTTCCATGGAGGTGTACATTGATTTGAGGATGGATGACCTTTCTAAGAAGTCTCCCAAAGTGCGTGTGAATGAAAACAAAAACGAATTGAAGGACTTATGTTGATCTGTGGAGCCAATCTAAATCCCGACACGCCTGGTCAGTGTGGCTTGCAAGCCATGGTGTTATACTTAGTATGACAACCGACCTGCAATAGTCCACAGTTGTTGACCTGACTGTTGATGGACCTAGAAATTGATGAATCCTTATAGTGTAACATGAACTTTGCATTCTAAAATGGGAGAGGATGTAATACCCCAAAAATTGGGCTGGTGCTAGGCCAACTCCCGTATTTGGATGAACCAATGAACCAATGTTAGGCCATCCAAGAGTATGATTAAGTTGATTGAATAGGTGTATAAACAATGTAAACGCTAAGTCATAAGGCTAGAGAAGAAAACATATAATAAAAAAGAGAAAATAGTTCATACTAAGAGCAAAAACCCTCCAAGGAATCTAAGTTAGCCCTAGACAACCTATAACATCGACTGACCACCCAAAAGAAATGAAAGCCAAAACAAAAACTAAGAGGTAGGCCCCCTTGAGGGAATTACGTAGCAACATAGGAGCCTAACAAGGTGTTAATATAGTTGAGTTACCTAAGGAAAACCCAAGATAGCTACTTTGAAGTAGATAAAATATCTGAAGTTAGCTTGGATATCATGCGACCAATTGGGATTTGGAGTGAGCCTTCCGATAACAAAGTGATTTTAGAATAAATGCAGTAAATATATTGCCACTGGAATTCCAATCTCACTCAGAACAACCACAGCTATTACGATGCAACATCAGGATGAATTATGCTGTAGATTCGATGCGATGGGACCACCCGCTTTCGAAATGAACTCTTGCTTATAGGTGGATTGGCCTCAGGCTGGTAGAGCGAAAATCTCCCATTTTATTGATCTAAAGCGGGCAAAAAGACTTCTTCTAATTATTCATAAAATTTTAACTCTAAAATCATTAAATCAAATTTTTATTTTTTTAATAGTATATATAAAATTAATTTTATATTAAAAATATCGCATAACACCTATTTATATCGAAACAAACAATATTCAAATTCAACTATTCAAAATTAAAATTCAAAATCTGAACCCCTTCAATTATAAAAAAACGAGGTTCAATCCAAATACTTTCTTTAATAAATTGAAAAACTTAGGAAAAACTCATTTTATTTTTCAATAGACCAAACTTGAAAGACCATCTTAAAGAATATTTTAACAATAATCAATTGATAATTAATTATATATATATACACAACAGTACAAAATTTATAATTATTTTTATATTATTATATATTTTTATTGATCGAAGATTAACAAAATAAAAAATAAATAAAAAAAAATTCATATCGTAAAATTTATATAAAAAATTAAAATAATATAACAAAATCTGAAAGAACAATAAACTACACATCAACAAACTTCCAATTAAAAAGGTATGATGAGCCAATAGATAACCATACACAGAATTCAAAATGAGATTATCATCATCAAGCAAAGTGTCACCTGACCTGATGAAGAAGCAACAGATCACAAACAGACATGGGAAGTTCCTTAATCACATTAAACTACCCTAGTTTATAATACTCACTCTTTTCTCTCGTTATATATAATAATGTTTCTCACCAAACACAGCAATGCCATACAATATCAAAATGTATATTATGTATAGTATAGAATATTATGTATCACAAGATAGCAGCAACAACAAATCATGGAGTATTATTATTATTATTATTTACTAACATAACAAATCACAACAAGGAGAAAAATTGAGGATGCTTACCTGCCTCCTGCAATCTTGTTCTTCTATTCAGGAATGAACTTGAGAGACTCCCTCCATATTAGTTCCTTTATGTCGTCTTCACTCAAATCAGATTGCTCGAAATCAAAAACAAATGGTGATGGACAAGTCGGCTCCTCGTTGATCTCGTGGAGGCTCGATAAAAATGGATGATTCAGTGCTTCCTCCACTTTGTCAATCGAAAAAAGCTCATCAATGTGAATGTTAGAAATTTTCCAATTGGACAAAAAGGATTAAGGACTGATGGATGGATACCTGTAATACGCTTAGCCGGATCGAAAACAAGCATCTTTTCTGCAAGATCAATTGCAAGAGGAGATGCCTCCGGGAACTTTTGGGAAAAGGGCTGCTTGGGTACCTGAGGTAGGTGCTGCTTGACATATCCTCGAACATTGTCGTCATTTTTTAAAAATCCCAGATCAGAATCTTCAGGGTGTCCCAATAGCTGCTCCAAATTTGACAAAATAATCAGTGACTGATTTAGGTAACATTCTACAACTCTAGAGACCACATCATCGACATTTTAGCTAGGAGGGAGGGAGGTACCTCATTTATTAGCTCCAACTGTTGTACGTAGTCCTTGCCGGGGAAAAGAGGCTCCCTTTTAATAATCTCCATTAATATACAACCAACTGACCAGACATCAATTGCTGCAGTATATTCTGAGCAATTGAGCAATAATTCAGGAGCTCGATACCATCGGGTGACAACATATTCAGTCATAAAATCAGTATCGGAGGCAGTTCTTGCAAGTCCAAAATCACAAATTTTCAAGTCACAGTTAGCATTTAGGAGCAAATTGCTGGGCTTAAGGTCTCGGTGCAGAACATCAGCGGAATGTATATATTTTAGTCCCCGCAATATCTGATAAAGGAAATACTGCCAAAGCAAGAGACAAGTACAATTGAAGAAGCAGTGGCAGATATCATTTATAAATTCACCAAAGCTAATTAATATACTTCTTACACCACATCAAAAACACATTATTATTAATTCATGGTGTACAAACTAGAGAACAATGAGGCATCACAAATTCTAGTCCTGAGCAAATAAAAATACTTTAGTCGCTGAAAACTGAGAAAACGAAACAAAATCTGATGCACAGATAAAAAACTGATACACCGCTTAGTACTAAAAGACCAGTCTTTCAACAGAACATCAACATGATACTGGCAACTAAGGTTGTGAACTCAAATTCAAATATTAAATTATAGACTCCCTCCCTCCGTCCCGTAAAATTAACACATTTGAGTCCGAGATGAAGATTAAGAAAAATGAATTTTAAGTGAAAAGGTGATAAAAGTAAATACAAAAAAGGCAGAGAAACAAAAATGAATAAATAACACTTACTGAAGGTTTCACACATATATGTACCCATAGGTACCGGTATAACACAACTGATGAAAAGGTAATGATAACAAATTTCTACTGTCACCAATATTTTCTACAAGCTCCTAATGTGGATTTTGAGATTAAATCTTCTCTAGAATGGAAAGAATAGCTCAAAAAGTACTTCCTTGCACTTGCATTTCTTTGTTTACAAATGAAAATTGTGCTGCCTAGATCGATAGTTGAACATTTTGTTTTTAATTTATTAACTCCAAACAATTGGTTCCAACAAGTAAGGAACGCTAGCCAAGTTAACGAAGATCAAATCCTTAGCAAACTTAAAATTTCTAAGTGTTAAGTTTCATTCACCCAGCCTTAATTGCAAAAAGATTTCATCCCACAGACATGCCATCAGCAAATCAGGATATCAGATCATCAAGAGTAATAGATTATACATTGATGGAGCAGTGATTGGTATGGAACCAAACAATTCAAACGAGTAAACATTTACTGCCAAAGAACATATGTAAATATTAGTGACTAATCATTCAGGCAGATCATTATCGAGTAAAACTTACTTGGCAATGGTCCTCGGTAAGTTCCTGGGGCGAGCTTATTATCTGGTGCAAATCAGTTTCCATTAATTCATATGCAATGTACACATCATTGAAGTCCGCTTTATCTGGTGGCTTTATCACATCCAGAATTTTAATAACCTGCGGGAATCATCATTACATTAAAATCAATCACAGAATCAAAATTCAACCAAATTTAATCAAAATCTCCCCCAACATTTTCGTGATCCATGTGAGTGAGAAGCTTGATTTCTCTCAGTGTCCTTTTAGCATCTATCCGGTTATCAAAGGCATTCGCAATTCTCTTAATCGCCACCTCCTCTTTCGTGTCCGCATCCGTCGCCGAACTGAACATAGCAGAAACCGCAGCAAACTCACATAATTGTAATCAACCAGACATGAACATATATATATATATACACAGAAAATTACCAAACTAGACCATAAGCGCCTCGGCCAAGGGGAGCGATAGGAGGGATGTACTTGGAGGGGATCTCGAAGAGGCTGCCGAGGACGTTGTACTGGACAAACTTTCCTCCATGGACGGGGCTCCCCTCCAGTTGAACGACTGAACAATCGGAACCATTTTCCCTTTCACTTTCCCTTTCCATTGCCGCTTCTCCTGGAAGAAAAAGAAGAGGTATCTCAAAAAAGGAGATAAGATCTGCTGCAGTGCAGGCAGCTGCTCCTGTACTGTACAGAGTCGGAAATCAAGTCAAATTTAAAAAGGAGGGAAAGTGAGATGTGGTCTGATCTGGTAGGGTATTGGGCAATGATTCAGTGTGGACGGGTGTAAATTTTGGGGGCGGATGGGGCCGACCCAATCCAACCAACTTTAGAGGCCAATTGCAATGGCCAATTCTAAAATAGCTTCGTAAGCTTACATGTCTCAACAAAATATTACTCCCTCGATGCCAAACAAAACACAACATTTATATTTGGGTATAAATTTTTAGGTGAGTAGCGGTTAAGTAAGATAATTTAAAAATTAAGGGATAACGATGGAGAGATAAATATATTATTTTATTTTTTTGTTGGGTAGAGATAAATGTATTATTTTATTTTTTTTATTGGGGTAGAGATTAAATATAATTAATTATTTTTTATTTTGAAAATATGAGACGGTGTTTGAGATATACCAAAAAAAATAGAATATATTTTTAATAAATAGAAGATAATGTGTGTAATAAATTTATTTGAGAGAGATGAAGAAAAAAGAGAGAAGAGGAAAAGATAAAGTTAAAATAAATGTACTCTCTCAAAACTATTTATTATTTAATAAATAGTTGTGTTTACTATTTTTCTCTGTTTATTTTCATAAATAATCATATCATTATAAAACTATATTTACTTTATCATTATTATTACACATTTGTCACTACTTTTACAGTAATACACTCACAAAGACAAAAAAGTCTTTTATCCGTACTTTTTATCCACTACCAATATAATATTAATATTTATTAAATCTCTTATCAAATACAATCCAAACTATATTTTTGGGACGGGAAAAATATTAAAAAGAAAAAGAAAAAATAAAAAAATAAAGAGAGAAAAAAAAAGACAGAGGTGTGAAGTGTGCCTCACCTGCATAAGGGGTAAACTAAATTGTTCATTTTTCCCATCAAAACAAAGGCTATCGTATTACTTTTTTCAAAAGCTTTGACAAAAGCTTCAATCTGACACAAAATACTTTCTATTAGGTTGTTGTTGCAATTGCATAGTTGTGCTATTTTGCACTTTGGAGGTTTTCAGAGCAAGGCCTTTTGATGTTTTTGTAAGATCAAAAACTCATTTTGATTTCTTCGAAGTTTTCTTTTCTCTATAGTGTGATATATCAATTTAAGAATTTATCAAGAATTTATTCAATTTTTTAGTCATATTATAAAACTGAGTTTTGCATTCCCAAAGTTATCCTTTGTTTTTTCATATTAATAAATATATTATTTTATATAATATAAATTTTATATAATAAAATATTTAATTTAATATTCACGTATATATAATTAATTTGGAGTATAAAATTAAATTTTTTTTTATAATTTATAAAATATTTACTATAGTTATATTTAATTATATATATTAATAATTATTTTATGTAATAAAAATATTTAAAATATTAAATTATATTTTTTATTATATATAATATTAAATTTGATTTAACTAACATTGTATAAATTTTATATATTAATTAAAAAATATTAAATAAATAAATAATTACATCTCTTCTCCGTGCGGAGGAGAGAAAGATGAGCTTTCAAACTTTCTTTTCCATGTATGATCCTTTATAAGGTCATCTCGAAAGCGCCTCACATAATTGGAGTTTGGCCCCTCCAATGCAACGCCATATCCAACTTCATTTTTGGTATTTGCTACAGTGCAATATCATTTTTGGTGTTGCACTGTGACAAGACCATTTTTCGTGTTGTTATATTTTTTTTTTTATATTAATTATTTGATTTATTTTTTATTTTTTAATTTTTTAAAAGATAATAATTAATTATAGATATAAAAAGTGGTTTAAAATAATGTATAAAATAGAATATTTGAATAATATTCTTTTTTTTGAAGTAAAAAATAGAGTTGTGGATTAGAGTAAACATATTGTAACAACGATATTTTTTGAGTTAATACTGCATAAATAGAGTTCGTGGGTTAGAGATGGCCTAACAACCTTGTCATCTTCATTTTCTTTATCAACACCTACAAGGGACCTAAACCTCTTCTTCATTTGCAGCATCATCATTCGTCACACGATCCAAAGGCTTCGCTGTTTGAGTAGGAGTAGCAGGAAGTTCATGTGTAGTTACAACATTCTAATCACCACAGGTAGTAAAGGGTGTTTGTCGCATAATCATTAGCACCAACTTGGAGGAGAGACACTTGTTGTTTTGGGCAACAAGGACAAAATCTTGGAATTCAATCCTTATGTCCTTAACTTGTTGTTGCAACTACTTGATAACAACAAATCAAAATTGCTATCAAAACTACTTGAGGAGTCCACTCAAGAGATTGCCAAGACTATATATGTTGAGCATTCCACTTCTTTTGAAAGAAAAGGTGTCACTTCTGTAATGTTAACTATGATGTTCCAATGCATTTATCGTCTATGTGGAACCATCATTTTCCCAACGGCGAATGCTAGTACTGTTAGCACAAAAAATTGATAAGTTAATTTTTTTCCATCGATAAACACATTAAATTGATAAACTTTGGATTTGTTGTGATAAAAAAGATGTTCGAGTTCTCATTTGAATCAAAGGTTGAATCGACCATTTCCTGCATTGATCTGCTTGTTCTTAAGTTCTCATGAAATTCATCATGGAGCTAGTGAGAAATGGTCCATTGCACACTCATTTTTGGCCTAGTCCAACCTAAAGCGTTTACACAATGATTTTCTTCATGGTGAACCAACAGATTCCGATGCCTATCTAGAAAAGTGACAAAAGTTTCTACAAGATGTCATGAAGGAGAAAACCTTTATATCTGTTGTCTTAATTGTTCAAAAACAAAAAATTGCTCAAGCTTTGAGCCTCGTGCCCTACTATCTTACAACTGTGATGATTATGATGAATTCTCCGATGCCGATGATGATGCCTAAGAGGCAGCCCCTTGATGTTGCCCATTTTTGGCCTCTTCTGCAAGCCAAGAGGGAGATGGTACAACAAGCCGATGAGAGTTTTTTTGCTAAGGAGGAGTTGGAGCTATAGCTGGAATGCTAGAAGTTATTCTCTGATACTTTGATGTTTATATTATGTTTTTTTTTTGTTGACATGAAGTTGATGTTATAACTTATATGTAATTACTATTTGTGAAGCCGCCTACGGGTTCTTTTTTCTTTTATATCGTGGGAACCCGTAGCCGCTACTCTTCGAGTGCGCTCTGAATAAACACTTGGCCGAACCTAATACCTTGCAAACTAAGCTCGACAAGACAAGTCACACAATGGCCTGTAAGACTTAACTTTGAACTAATGAAACAATGATGCTTTGAGAAAGCTGGGTGAATCTTATCAATAACATCCATTGCCCAAACTTTGAACGGCCATCGTTTGATTAATGCCTGGAGGTCAACAATTGGCAAATGATTCAATGGTCGATATCTTTGATATTCTTAGCATCATTTAGCAAACTTAATACAATCTTCGAATATCTTTGGATAAAAGAATCTCATACAATGTATGGCCTATTTTATGTTCAAGCCTCTTTGATGGGCCCCACACAATCCACTGTGTAGATCCTGCATTATTTCCAACGATTCTTCCGGCCCTAAGCATCTCAATAACACACCTTCAAAAGTCCTTTTCTAAAAAACTTCTTCAATCAAGCAAAACCGGAGCTTCTTCAATCAAGCAAAACCGGAGCGCTTTCAGTCACACTCCCATGGGTGCAGCTGAATTCGGTTCCTTGAGATATTTAATAACATATGTCCTCGGGTCGGTCGATGCGGACGCCTCTAAATCCGTATCAAATGGCCATATTTGAAACTTGTTTTGATACTCGTTTACAAGCACCTTGAGCCAAATCATCTACGTGCTAATTCTCTGTCATCGGGATGTGTTCAATAACAACGTCTGAGATTCTGGAGAATAAACGATATACCAAATCCTTGTACAGATGTAAATGAAGGAAACTGCATGCATATCGCTTTGTTACTTGGTTAGCCACCAACTTTGAATCTCCCCGAATTACAACTAACTGGACCTCTCTTGCCACCAACGCCTCTAAACCCAAAATCAACTCTCTGTACTCAGCGGAATTGTGGGTCATTGCGTTCAATTGTAGTTGTAATTTGATCTTTTGGGAATCATGTCCCTCTAAAATCACTTTGGTTCCTGATCTTCCTCCTGAACTAGAACCATTAAAAAACATATACTATGGTCTGCCCACATACGACACATACTTTGTTTCCTCCAGTCCATTCCCGGTAAATTCAGCCAATAAATCAGTGACTGCTTGTCCTTTCACTGCTTTCAAAGGTTTATATTTTAGCAAAAATTGGGCTAACTTAATGGCCCATTTCATTAATCTTCCCTACATAGTTGGTCTGTGCAAGATTAATTTGATCAAGTCTACCTTGGAAATAACTTGTCTGTCGGGAAAGAATATAATGTTTCAACTTGGTACAAACAAAAACTAGCGAGTAGCTCATCTTCTTAGGTATAATGTAATTCAGCTTGGATCCTGTGAGGGTCTTGCTCAAATAATAAATAGCCCACTCCATACCATTTTCCTATTCCTGGGCCAAAAGACAACTTATCATGTCGTGAGTGTTTGACAAGTACAACTTAAGCAGTTGGTATCCCTTTAGAGGCATCAACACAAGTGGCTTGGTCAGAGCCGCCTTGATGGCTTTCAAAGCCTTTTGCGTTCGGCTCCCCAAACAAAATTCATCATTTTCTCCTATAACAACTTTGTAATGGGCTTCATTTTTCCGGAGGCATTGATGATAAATCTTCTTAAATAATTTACTTTCCCAAGTAGGCTTTGAACTTTCTTGACCGACCCAGGGGGTCTGATCATCTGAATTGCCTTAGCCTTGTTCGCATCTATCTCTATCCCTCTTTTATGTACCAGGAAATCCAAAACGTTTCCTGCTGACACCCCAAAAATACATTTTTAGTTGGATTCATTTTCACATTGTAACTCTTCATCCGACGCAATGCTACCCTCATATCATCCAAGT